GATCCCCGAGTTTCCTGTAGCGAGCAGGCACAGTTTACATAAGGAGGGCATACCAGCCTTACCTTGGAAATACTATTCCAATATCTTTAGTTCCTCAGTCTGAACAGTGGAAGTTCACAGCAGAGAATATCAGTATTAAATTGTTCAACCACTAGATGATATGAGTACAGCATCTGTCTCTAATTTTTCTATTAAACTTTCCTTCTCCTTAGTACTCAGTAAATAATTTCATTAAATAAGCTTCTCAACCCTAAACTCAGTTGTTTCCTATCCACTCAAGTTCCCCTTTGAAGCTTTTGAAGTAGCAGCGTGTTTCCTGTCCATCACACAGTGAATGCCTCTGAGACTGTTGAACATGTGGTACAGTGTGTTGCTAGATGTTGCCAAGACGTAATTTTGTGGTTCATACTTAATGTAAAAATGTTCCCTCACAGAGAAGAGTAAGAAAATATCCTAAATATTTTACATTTTGCCTTTAATTTTGGAACTGCTCGCTGATGTCTGTATTATCTCTCTCTCTCCCCACCTGCCTCCCCATCCTAGCCTGGTTGGGAAGAAAGAATTCACTTGGACGGCCGAACATTTTATATTGATCATAGTAAGTAGGCACCGCTGTGGGCACATACGTATTGCAGGCAAAGGGAAGGGAGGAGCGGATAATTCAAATATTACAGTGAAAGCTTTGTCATTTTGCTCCTTGTCTAGGCAGCCAGGTGTTATGTGGAGAGAATGATCCCAGAGAATCAGTGCCCTCGTACGGTACTGTGCACTCACCCCAGTTTGCTCTAAAGTAGCCTGTCAAGCTTTCACCCAATTTGATCTTGTGACCTATTAACTTTTTTTAATTCAAAAATTTGGGGGAGGTTGATAACCCCTTGACTTTGTGCTTTTAATAAATACACTCTGGTAATAGAAAATAAGATTAGAAGTGATGATTGAGTCAAAAGTCTATGTGTGAGCCGTGCTTGAAGCAGCATGTACATTTTTTGAACATTGCCTTCAACAGTCTATGGCAAGATGCCCATTCTGACTTATTTTCTATTTCATAGCATGTTTCCTTGCACCCGACTCACTAATATATATGTAGTCCTTTTCTTGAAATTGTGGTATATTTGCCCCAGCACCTATGAATAAACGTGTGGTTTCTCATTTCAACTAAAAGTTAAACTAATAAGAATTCGCTTTTAGCTGGTGTTTTTTTTTTTCTTTTTGAGGCGACGTGTTCTCCATGGAATCATATTTGTATAGCCCTTAAAAGGTCTGAAAATGTGTATTATAAAAGATATCTTTAAGTAGGTGTAAAGTTCAGATCATGTGTGCAATTTGGTAGTATTTTGATCTTTGTTTTCATTTGGCTCGTAACAGTGAAGTCTGCACGATGTTTTCTGCACCAGGTTCCCCAGCGTCACATTTTCTTTTTTTTTTTTTTTTTTTTTTTTTTTTCATTTTTTTAACTAACCAAAAGTATAGTGATGAGTCAGTTTCTGGAAAGTCTGACCACGGAATCCTCATAGGGCTAGTGCCTGTCCCAGGCGTTACCAAGCAGCCAAGTGTGTCCTAGAGCTTGGCTCTCAGGCACAGGGGCTTGAGGGGTAGTTGTACATTGCATTAAGCAAGAAGCCTAGCAGTTCAGAATTCAACCCAAAGTACAATTCGTAAGGGAGGTGGGCTATCCTTTGACTTAAATTGGGTGTTTGCAGGTACATAGGCCTTGTTTTTGCATTTAACCAATAAAAATACTGATTTTGCCTACTTTCTAGAATTTTACCATGAACATAAAATTGGTGCTATAAATGCTTTAAAATATGTGTGTGCCCCCACTTTTTTCCTTACTATACTATTTATAATTCTGTTCTTTGCATAATTTGTTAAAATAGAAGGGTCACACACCTTTTTCACACTGAAAACAACAAGTTCTTTTCAGTTTTTATGCATTACAGTTTGTTTTCAGATTTTTGCAAGGGCTCAAGAGCAAGAGAAATGCTTTTGCAAAGGCCCATGTTAGTGTACAGTAGAAATAATAAAAATCAGACTATTTTTTCTAGTGGTGTGTATAGACATAGTATAATATGTAGTAGATGCTCAATAAATGGTGACTTGACGTTGATCCATGGAGGGGAAGAGGTGAAGGTGTTGGAATCGATGTCCTTGGTCGGAAAGTGTAGAGAATTGCCTTGAGAAGCAGCAGCGGTCCCTCCAGCCTCAGCCTTGCCCTGCTTCTGTCTTGAGAGGCAGGAGGGGTAGCTGCTTGCTCTGTGCCTGGACAGCTCCTTATTCTGACCAGTCCACAAGCCCCTCCAAGCACTTTTCTCAGATGCTCTTCATCCCTCTTGTCACAACAGGAGTACATGGGAGGCTTCTCTTTGCTCTTGACAGTGGTACTGCCCACATGCATGGCCCAGTTGATCTGAGCTATAAAATGTGATATTTGTGATCATTACATGGACCTTAAAATTTGCCTTTGCTCCACCATCCTGAAAGGTTCTCTTATCCACATGTAGTGAAAATTAGATGAGCAAAAACTATTTGTAAGAAAAAGATCTGTTTAGGATAACCTCACTGTTGGTTCATACAACATTTCTGCCATTTCTCTCTCATTTGTCAAAGTTACTCAATGGAAAGCTGTAAGGGGTACATAGCAACGAACCAGAGTTCATTACCTATACCATTTCACCAAAATCCAGTCTGTGAGGAGGGCAGAATATCTGTCTTTAAAAGGCTACATCTGGCTGATAGGTGAACATTCCAGAATGGGTTTCAGTACCTGATAGGTGAGGTTTAAGAATTTCCTTACCTGCCAGATGAGCCTGTCCTTCCAAACAGTTTTCCCACATCTGATTTCTAGCAAAATTCATTTTGCTATCTCCTTTGCTATTTATCCTGCTGCCTGCAGGACAGAAGCCAGGTCATGCCTACGACATATGTCATTTTACTGTGAAGCAGTCATCTGGGAAGATACTCAGAGCCAGCCTGGCCGCCAGCAGCCCTGGGACGTGCGTCTGTGCACTGAGTGCCAAAAGCAGCAGTCTGCTCATCTTGTAAATAGTTAGATTATTTTCTGACTTGATTATTTTCCTACAGTCTTGAAAAGTTAGACATTTTCAAGATTACAAATACTCAAACAATTTAAGGACTTAATTTCATAAGAGATGAATGTTCGGTACTAATCTCTTCAGATTTGATTTGTTTAGTTGACATTTACCAAATAGATACCATGTCTTGAGCCTGCGTGAAAGGTTAAGGGAAGATCTTGAGCTGAATCTCTACCTCTCTCAGGAATCATGGGATGATTCTTAAAGATGAGGTACACCTAGCAGCTGAGTTACTGGCCACAGGTCTTACATACAAAGCTAGAAAATAAAATTCCAGTGGTTGTGTAAAACCGTGTTTCTGTCTTTTCTGCCAACAGTCCTACCAAACCTGTTAAGAGTAACTAAGTTGCCTGAATTTCTTTTTTCTACCTCATTCTTGACCCTTTCTTTGAAATGTAATGTCCTGAAGACAAAAAGCAAGCTTAGATTTTAAAGTTCTAGAAAAAAATGGATAACTAGTCACCATATATTCGTATGTTGACAATACTTTGATGCAAAATTGATCTTGATTGTAACCATACGGAAACTTGTGGTTCTTCAGAAGCTTAGACTGTTTTAACAGGAATTTGTTTGTATCACCACCTTCTTTCAGTCATTAAAAAAATAACATATTAAGCTCCTGTTATATTCTGAGAAATGTGTTAAGTGTTGGAGAGGGGGCTGCAGAGATGGAAACACACAGTCCCTGTCCTTGAGGGACTTAACATTCTAGTAGGGAATGCCTCCTGGTTTTCCACATATTGGGTTAGAGGAATGAACCACCTTGCTTGCCAAGTGGTTGGGCACCAGGGGTGCCTTTAGGCATTAGGAGGGCCTTATGGAATGGATTCCTTTTCAGATGGGTCCCAAATGATGAGTGAGATTTATCCAGGCAAGTCCACAGAAGAGTGGCCCCAGGAGGGAGAGGCCATGTGCAGATTGTGTTGAGTTCCAAGAAACGTAGTGGGGCAACAAATGGCCAGTGTGCAGGGGAGGCCAGCATGACACATGGGTCAAGTTAAAGGGTGTCTGCCGGGTGTGGGAGCCCGGGTCCCTTCTGCAGGCCGGAGGGAGCTCCTGAGGGGAGTGAAAGGGGTCAAGTTCGTTCT